TACCAGTCAAGATTATTTGTGCGTAGGGGTGCATCATCTAGCGCCTGGTCCTGGTCATCCTCGCCATTGCCCATGCCGTGAACCATCACCTCGGGCTCGGGCTCGAACAAATAAGGACGTAATGGTCCATCGTCTGGCTCAATATTCTCACCATCGTCGCTTACTGAACCGGATTCAGATTCAGTTCCTAAAACGACATTTTCGTAGGAAAGCCGAGAGGATGTTTCTGACTCGCTATCATCACTGGATACCTCGTACAATCCTTCTTCTTTGTCTGGTATATTTGCCCTTCCACGTTCATTCTGCATAGACGCCATAGTTTGTTATCGTATCGTCTTCCTGAGTTTTCGTCACTTCCGGTTTGGCTAAGTCGAACATTTCGTTTCTAAAAACTTCGGGGAAGCTGCAATAAAGTGCTTCTAACATGCGTAAGGCAATTATTATATTTTTTTAATCAGGTGTGATTGTTTTGGTACGTAATTATGCTTGTATATAAGTTAAAACGAAACTATTTGAGGTTCCATTTCCACTATCCCTTTAATGTTTCTGTCACATTAAAACATTTAGCTAGTTTTTATTTTCCTAAAGTTAATCAAACGTAAAGATTTGTATGAGAATAAAAAACTACACGCAGTTACAGTTAACATTGATAATAACTACTAATACAACAAAAAGCTCCCCTTTATATTATTGTTGTATACATGTGAAAAGTATATGTTTTTTAAATAAACAAAGGATGTGTTCCCCAGAGTTACCAAAGGTTTGACTGTGTTTGCGCTTTAATATCAATAGTTAAATATATCTGGTTTTATTGTCAGGACCGTGTCCAGATACAATATCCAGCCACAGCCTCTTTATACTGACATTAATGTATGTATTCTCAACACTGAAAAAGAAGATGATACATTTTACATTCATTAAAATGTTACAATTTATAAAATGTTTAAGACAGACAATAGAAAAAGTACAAAACAACTAACAAATATGAATGAATAAACATTATCTAAGGAGGTACAGTTAATGTTTTTATGTTGTTTACAGGTCTCAGTGTGTCAGGAGATGCTCTCAGAGTTCCGTAGCGCTGTCTCCTTTAAGAAGAGTTCCCGCTCCCGCCGGCGCCGGCCCCTTAGCAGCGCGGGGGGGGGCATCCTGCGCCACCCCTCCCGCCTGGCTCTGGCCACGCCCCGCCCCATCCGCCTGGTGCGGGAGATGCGCCTCAGCAACGGCAAAATGTACCGGGGGGGGCCCGGCTCGCTGGGGGGGGCGCCTGGGAGGAGGCTCCGATCTGGGCCCGGGGCCCCAAGAGGGCTCCTGGAGGACCCGCGGGGCACCAACACCAGCACGCCACCCTCCACCCCCCCCTCCCCCGGTTTTGGCCCTGGTGGGCCCCCCCCGCACCGCTGCGCAGCTTCCTGTCGGTCCTGCAGCCCACGTGCGTGTCTGCCAGGAGTGCCGGCGCATCCAGAGCCTGAGGAGCGCCCTGCCTCCCCCCCATCCACCTGCTCTCGCATCCCCCCCCTCACCACCTCCGCCACAATGCCCACCCCCACCTGCACTATCACCACGGCTCCATGTCGCTGCCCCCGCCTCCCCCCGCTTCCCCCCCCCCATCCCAGCAGACAGAGCGGACAGTGACGGGGGCCCACAGGAGGGCCAATACAAAACCCCCCCCCACCGCCCCGGCCCCTGCCTCTCCCTAAGACACCCATGTGCCCCCCCACAGACTTATTGATGGGGCACAACTGAGGAGAGAGACACCCTCTGGCTCCAATGACACAGCCAAGAATGGCATATCAGTGGGGGGGGGGGCAATCCTGACCTGTTTGCAGGGTCCTTCATAAAGACGAAGCCCCTTGGCTCGCAGATCCTACCATTAACCTTTCCACATGGGGGTTCAACAACACTGTTACAGACGGGGGGGATAAACTTTACACTTTGGATTAAAGCGTTCGAGGTGCTCTGAAGGAAGTGCCAAATGACATCATGGTGGGGGTGCTTTTGAATGTGCCCCCATTCAGTTCCTCACCTCTTGCCTTGGCCAATCTTCACGCTCCGTGCCAAGTGAGGAGGACTTCCTTTCTCTGTTTGAATACTGAAGCAGGTGTTTGTACAGGAGGAGACACACACACAGTAGCAGCTGTACAGTTATCAGGTCATCTGTGGGATCATTAGCCCTCTGCAGGATGTAGCTCTTGTTGCTTTTTGTGCAGACGTCTGTAAAGCTGACCAATCAGTGCTGTGATTAAGCAGAGTCCACAGAGCTTTATGCTCATCTGAAGTCCACTGCTGTGCTGGGACCCTTCTTCTTTACCAAGTGAAGCATCGTGCACAGGGGAGCCGTTTTAAAACTGACGAGCAGGTGGCGGAACATAGTTCTTTATTTGGTGTGTAAAGCAGAGTTCCCGTTAGAATATGTTTTCGCCGGTCAACATGTCCGTTAAAGTTTAAATCTTCCGGACAAAATTAGAAAAGTGCCGGTCAAAGGTCTTCTTGTTATGTATTGAGCTTTAAAACAAATTGATATGATTCGATATTAAACAAACTAATTATAGTAGATTAACTACATTATTCAAAGGTGTTCAGTAATTTACAATAACACGGGAATATAAACGGAGCGCTCTCCCTCTCCTGACAGCCCGTCAGTATCATGCAGCTCTCGCGGAATCCAGTAATGAAGTGACCCGACAGTAACACTAACATATCTATAACTAGTTTAGGTTAGTTTGAGAGGTCATTAAAATAGCTACGGTGTGATATTCTTAACCTGAAGTGTGTGTTTTTGTCCGCTCACCGGCTGCATGTGATCATGCGAGCTGCGTGTCGACTCGTCAGCAGCAGCTGATCTCTCTCTCCCTTCAGATTAGACTTCACTCGCGTTTATGTCCATATCGATCAGATCCAGCTAGTTCTAGCTAATGATATGACTACCTGCTTATTAAAAGACACCATAAACAATAAGTGTCGCTATGGAACCGGGTGAGGTCACAAAGTTATAGCGCAGCAGTATGCATTTGTTTACATGCCCACCGGAACCCCGAGGCATTACCAACAGATCAACGCCACAATCAACCCATACAGGAACATCTCTTTCTCCACATTAAGTGTTTTAGACATTAGAATGGACTATTCTTGTCTGTCACATAAATGGTGCACTGATGCGGTATTGCACTAAAGGGAAATTATTTTTGACCGGGACACTTTGACCGGAGAGATTCAGATTTGTCGGTCTTTCAGCATATTTTACCGGTCCATAGTCCGGTAATTACCGGGCTAACGGGGAACTCTGGTGTAAAGGTGGTTAAACAATAAGTCCGTCAATCAGAAACTAGCCTTCTGTGAATAGGACATTTTGAGCTCCCGTTTTTAAAGAGCTAGCTCAACTTTTTAGAGCTGCTTTGCTTTTTCAAAGTAAAAAATATAAGAATTGCATGTAGCAAACAAAAAATAGCTTTGTCTGAAAGGGAAATGAATCAGGAATAGTTTCAGCACTGATGCAGACTTGTGTTGAATCATAGAGCCAGACCAGGTGTTCTGCAGCTGTTTCTACCTGGAGCATTCCTCCAGCTCTGAACGCGGGCCAGGTCTGGGTCCACGTCTGGATCCACGTCTGGGTCCACGTCTTGGTCCACGTCTGGGTCCACGTCTGGATCCACGCCTGGATCCACGTCTGAGTCCACGTCTGGGTCCACGTCTGGGTCCATGTCTGGGCCGGAGCCTGATGACATTTAGAAATACAGAGCAGACCAGTGTGCGACACACTCAGATTTGTGTCAGATCTGCCCAACTGTTTGGTTGAACACATACCAACTGTAAGGGACTGTATGACAATGATTTGTAGTAGCTCTTTAAGGATCGTCTTTTTTCTAGCTGTTTTAGTCAAATACTTCTCTCATTTTCTCATGTCATTTTCTCAAAGCAAAGACTATCTATAATTTATTTAAGATATATTGTTTGATGTTTTCTCTTTTTAATCATATCTTCTAAATGTAAAGGTACACAGTCCTAAATGATTCTGTTTGTAATGCTAAATCCAGTTGAAGGAATTGAAGTTGAATGAGTTGAAGGAATGTCTGTTACAGACATTTAACAAAAAGAGTGTTTTACTTTTTGTTTTAAAGCCCACACCGATCCAATCATTTTCTCACACTCCCTAACAGTAGAGGAACTCCCTGAGGGCAGTTGTGTATATTTCTGGTGAGTATTCAAGCTGCCTGTGGCCACACATGTAGCCTACTGTACACACACTCACACTCACAGGTAAATGTGGACGGCAGATCGCAAAATAAAAAACTAAATTTCAGTTTGAGATTTCCTCCCTGTGTCCAATTTAATCGCTTATTTCCTCAATTCTATCATATCGTTTTCCTCTTTCATGGTGAAAGTGCTCTCTAACAGCACTTATAACTCTAAGTGCTGTTAGAGTTATAAAGTAACCTGTGGGGACTGGGAGCGAGGGAACATGTGCCAAATCTTATCAAATCCTGGATTTCTTGTTTTAATGATGATCAGTAGTTTCTGTTAGTTTTATTAATTTTGTATTTTTTTGTCATACAAACAGCAGAGAAAATGAGCCAGCATAATATTGTTTATTAAAATGAGAAAGGGCAACGGGAATGTTGATTTCAAATGTGACTTCAATACTGTGTGTGTGTGTGTGTGTGTGTGTGTGTGTGTGTGTGTGTGTGTGTGTGTGTGTGTGTGTGTGTGTGTGTGGTTGTGTGTGTGTGGTGTGTGTGTGTGTGTGTGTGTGTGTGTGTGTGTGTGTGTGACAATATGAATCCAATAGAGAGGTGCAGGGATGACGTATTTACCCGGAAATAAGCTGCGCTTGGGTTCACTTGACAAAAAGCAATGGGATTTCTCCATAGGATTTTGGAAAATATCAAAAATTGATAAATGCACATTTTGTTCAGCCAGATAATCTCAACATGTCTACCCTACTTTTATAATTTTTGAATCATATATCTTATAGCCAAAAGCAAAATGCTAACGTTATGCTATAAAAGCACAACTTCAACGTCACGCCAACTTAAGATCCATATTCAAACACACAGATTGTAAATGGTACAAGTTGAAGCGCTTGTTTGAACAGTTTGCAGGAGGCAGGTACTTGCTTTCAAGCAGAACAGGGCAAACACACTTAGCTGGAGTGTTTACGTGTTCGGCGTAATGACGTACAACGGCCTGGACAACTTCTGTAGTCCTATTCAGCCACTTGGTAACAACCATCGTTTTTCAGACACGTAAACTCTTCATAAATCACCAGCGGGGTCACTGCTGATGGATTTAATGTCGTAGAACAAAACGTGATCCGTCTCTTCAAGTTGTGTCAAACACAGACCTTATTTGGAGCTATTTTCCAAATCCTATGGAGAAATCCCATTAGCTCTGAGACGAGGGAACCGGAAGTGGTAAAATGCTGACTCACTTCCTGTTTTAGGACTCGTCACTGCACCACTCTATTGAAGTCTATTGTCTGCTGTTATGTTACCCCCCCCCAGATGTCAACCAGCAGTGCTCAGAGACAGGTGGATATGATTCTGATGATTCTACTGTTATCATTATTATTGATATTCTCTTGTGGGGTGACTTTAGGAGGGGACCCGCCCTCTGATGTTCAATATATAGACACACATTTGGAATAAAAAACAGTCAATGTGTACACAATGCTGATGGTGTTTCATTTTATTCACGTTTTTAAATTAGGTTTTAGGTTTGCTGCATACATTTTACAACGCAGCTTAAAGGATAAGACAGAAATAAAGTCACAGGCAGTTATTGTACATACATGTCATTAAAGTCAGATCTACTCATGATATTTTCCCTTGGGTGAATTATGACGTGTGTGACATTGTTGTAGCCTTATTCTCTCAGCTGCAACCCTGGCAGTGAAATTAAAACATATTTCACTGTTGTAAAAAGTTAAATTCATATTTTGTGATCATCTAAGGGAGTAAGGGATTACATCATGTAACAGGATTAGATAATCAGGGTAGAAAAAACGATTCCCTTACAGTTACATCAAAAAGACGCAATCAGATTACATTTGTAGCCTATACATTGAGGATTACTGGCAGGATTACAATGTTACACTATTGATCATCCTGTAGGCCTACTTTAGTTTACAGAACGCTTCCCCTGGCATTTTTTGTTTGCTCTGATTTTCTGTTTTTTTAAACGTTACTTTTACTGTTAGTCTAATGCAGGGGTCTCCAACGGTAGCTCGCGGGCAGCTTTTCAGTAGCTCGCAGCTCGATTATCGATTATAGCGTAGTAAGGTTGCTTCTTGATCTTTCGGCAGTGGCTGGACAATAAAGTTTTTTTATTTTAGAACTGTTACACGAATATAAAATTGGTCGGTGACGCAGTGATCAAGGAACAGACGTGACAGCGGCAGAGCGACACCACACACGGAGCAGTCTGCTTTCTCCACCAACACCAGTCCAGAACCAACAGCAGAATGACCCGCTCTGAATCAGTCCGTGTCGCTGCGGCTCAGAGACACACAGGGAGGGATTTGTGTTTTTGAAAAACACTCGTTATCATCATGTCAGGTTTTTGGTGGATTTAATCAAGTCTTGGATTGCAGAGTATGAATGTCCTCTTGCTATTTTCAGTTGATAAATACTTGCCTTAAGTTTTACAAAATATAAGTTTGTGAAGGCAGGAAGAAAGCTTCCGCGATCACCGTCTCCTCCGTTCCTCCAAACCCCGCCCCCTCCCTGAAAATAATGAGTGACAGGCTGATAGTGACCCGATAGAAACTTTATCATTCACTTAATCACTGATTGAGATGATGAAGCTAATTTACTCTCATACATTCATGGGATTTATGTAACAGTAAGATAGAGAATAAGTGTGCACCCACATGCACTATTTTTGTTTTTATAATGCTGTTGTACTCCTGTTGTCTGCTGTGTTCAGACTTAAATCCTGTGTGTGATGCCACATTCAGGACATTCAGTGTCCTTTCTTTAACAGAAGACCGTTGCTAGAAGCTGAAGCTAGACTGCAGAAGCATTAGTTTTTTGTTTTTGAGGATGGAACAATTTCACACACAGATATAGGGAGGCTAGACCCAGAGACGTGCACACATAGACTCTAGGTAGTGCTTGAGCACCTGCCCGTTTTGCCCTCTGGACAGCAATTTGTGCCCTTTTGAAAGTTCGTTTTTTACAGTTTAAAAAAATAAATAATTACAGTGTACTGTATGTGGCTCATGGTAACATCGATCAATTCTGGATTAAAAGCTTCTAATATATACAACAATGCCCCAAATGCGCGTTGTAATGTTATCAGACATCCCCACGCGTGCCCCGTGGCACTCCCGTACTCCCTGGCTGCAGCCCCTCCCTTCCCTGCTCTCAACGTGAACGCGCAGCGCGCAGAGCTGACAGTCAGTCAGACAGGCCACGGCGGGTGTGTGGTGCAGCAGCACGCAGCAACACGATTAAAAGTGCCCTAGTGACGACCAAGTAAGTAACCACCAGGTAACAAATA